GCACTTATTTTATCGTCACATTACCACTTATTTTATCGTCACATTACCACTTATTTTCACCCCATCCTAATAGTGTACTGACATTTGTCCAAACTTTTGCATGATTTCAAATAATTGTATTGATCAAACGGTACATTGTTTTCACCAATCAAATTTGAGTAAAGACATTGTTATACCCGTATTACAAAAATTAATGACAGCATTACTCCCCCCAGTGTGTCTGCAGGTGTACGACGTTAAAATTCGGATTTCGATACCCTTTGTAAGCGGAGTCCCCCCCCCCCCAGTGTGTCTGCAGGTGTACGACGTTAAAATTCGGATTTCGATACCCTTTGTAAGCGGAGCACAGATAAGCCATTATATAAGCTTTGCGCTTAACAACAACCAATCCAACACTACGTATTAGTCATAGACGATAAGTACGACCTTCGGTTGATCAAACAATAATAAAATAACTTAAACATTGTACCTGACGTGCGTGATCTTTGCAATTTGGAAATGCTGTATCAATGATTACAAAAATATGTTTTTTAGATACAGAATCATTATATTTTCCAAACGGTATTTTTTTTAACGAAAGTCATTGACGTCTTGACATTTTTCATTCAAATAATCCAAGTACACTTTTTTTTTACTTTTTATATTTTTTAGTGTACTTAATTTATTCGTTTCTTAAGATTACTTGTACAAATAGACAATAAACGGGAAAATACAGAATAAAATGGCGCCAAAGATACATCATTAAAAAAAAATCTAATAAATTACGTTCAAGCTAAAAGTACTATCTAAATCCAGTGTGGTGCTTTACGTCAAAACAACCCTAACTGTCTTGGCTTATTAAGCTTAATGAGAAGCATAAGATATAAATTTTCTTAATTTTTTTTGTATTTTAATTTAAAATATAACGAGAGATTAATCAATATTTAAATGAGTTTTTTTTCAGTGTATAACTTTCGTTTAACAGCTTCATCTTATATCTAGTTACACCAATGAAGTCAAAAATCCTAGTAAATCTGAAGTCATGTCGCTTATACATTATGAGTACTGTTACACCAATGAAGTTAAAAATCCTAGTAAATCTAAAGTCATGCCGCTTATACATTATGAATACTGTTACACCAATGAAGTTAAAAATCCTAGTAAATCTGAAGTCATGCCGCTTATACATTATGAGTACTGTTACACCAATGAAGTTAAAAATCCTAGTAAATCTAAAGTCATGCCGCTTATACATTATGAATACTGTTACACCAATGAAGTTAAAAATTCTAGTAAATCTGAAGTCATGCCGCTTATACATTATGAGTACTGTTACACCAATGAAGTTAAAAATCCTAGTAAATCTGAAGTCATGCCGCTTATACATTATGAATACTGTTACACCAATGAAGTTAAAAATCCTAGTAAATCTGAAGTCATGCCGCTTATACATTATGAGTACTGTTACACCAATGAAGTTAAAAATCCTAGTAAATCTGAAGTCATGCCGCTTATACATAATAAGTACTCTAATTATAGATTATTTTACTTGAAGATATCGATACAAACTCAGTGTCTTATCGTTCAACTTGTAGTATATGTTTACAGAGTTGGGCCAGAAGAGTGAAATTCGCCCATTATTGGAATCCCATTGTTTTTGAACGTTTCTTTTTTGATCCACACGTATTGAACATTCAAGTATTTATATTAATCTTCAGCGTTGTTGTTGTTTTTTAAGCGTGTAACTTATAATGGGATTTTCAAAACTTAATCCCTCCCTTCTGTTTTTCTATAGCTGCCATCGCCACCGATCCCACGGTACTCAACAAGTTCAAGGCGGGATTCAACGAATGTGCCTCGGAGGTTAGCCGATATGTCAGCAGGATAGATGGAATAGACAACAACCTCAGCCAGCGTCTCTTAAACCATTTGGGAAGCTGTGTGTCGAGTCTTCAGAATACCACACCGTATAATATGGCGAACACCACAGTTATGCCTTCTGTGGCTTTCACAGGGATAAACCAGTCTTTTCCAGATATCGTTAATCAGTTACAACCTTTGGGTGTTCAGATACCCACTGGATTGTTCACGTCATCATCTACAAATGGAGTGGCTCCTAGAACATTGCAGACCGTCGCCATGGGAATAGACATTAACAACAATAACAATGCTTCAAGAGCTCCTGGCCCAGTATCCAATAATTCAACAACATCAGCAAGTTTTGAAAAACTATTAGGAGGTCTTCCTCTCATTCCAAGCCGTCTTCCAAACGGAGATATTGCGTTTTTGTTACCAAGCAGGTGTTTATCTTCCGTTCCAGGTCAACTTTTGAATAGTCTTACCTTAGAATCCAGATCTTCAAAACCATTGACTTTCTCGGTGAGCAGATCCAGTACCCCTACTCCCTACTGCTCTCATTCATCTTGGGACCATCCAAAATCACCTGCAGGTCCATCTTCCTGGGACCATCCAACATCACCTCCAGGTCCACGAAGAACTGCTAGCACCGGAAGCTCACTAAGCTGTGCCCTCAGCCCATCTGTCAGCGATTCAGGCTCAGATGTCTTTAATGAATCTTTAATAGTATCACCAAGAAAATTATCGCCTTCCATTAGCAGAAATATAAAGGATCATCTTTCACAGCAAGACCCAACAAGTTCTGCACACAAGACAGGTATTGTTCAAAATATTCCCTCAACAGCGACTACAAGTTCTTCAAATTCCTCATTTGTATCCACAGCAAAGATAGGTGTCCAATCAACTATGGAACATTCCGGTTCTTTATCGATGGAACACTCCTTTGGTCACATTTCGACCATTGCTTCTGCAGACAGTTTTTTGTCGAACCGTTCCTCGCAGACTGTAGCTAAAAGTTGGACTCTCGTTCCTGGACATGATGGAGTATCCAGTAAACGCGATCACGCGAACTTACAAAGTTCATCAAGTGGTGCTAACGGCAAAATAAAACAGGCGTCCACAAATGTCACTCCTCAGTATCCTAGCTCGATCGAGCAATCGAACGAAACAGTTTGGCGACCTTGGTGATCAAGGGGACAGCTTTTGTCGATTAATTTTGATCTCATTTAATCCTAAGGCAAAAAATGGATTAACAGTGTATAGGATTGTTTTACGAAAACTTCCCGATTTGGTTTTCAAGATTACTTTTTAATAGTTTCTTTCACTTTATTGAATTGTATAGAAGTTTAGAAACTAATTTTTTTTTTTCATTTAAGCGATCATAAAATTTCTTTAACAATGGGTTTGTTGTTACAAAGTTATAAATGCAATAAGAAAACCACAACTTCAAATATGTTCTATACTAGATAAAAAAGAGGATGTGACAAAAGTAAACCGCTTGGTTAATAGGGCCTTTGTGTTTATTGTTGACAAGAGATGAAAAATAAGAAAGTTGCGTTTATAAACTGGTTATAACATGTGGAAGTCTTGAACAGTATAAATATTTGTAATATGTTTGTACTCAACAAATATGCCTGCATGTACTTAGACAAATTAAACTAAACCTATAAGATACTTAAACTTAGATTTTCAGTGGGGTAGGAAATGTTTTAACATTGGGAGAGGGGGCGGTGGGCTGCCACAATTATTTCCGTGCAGACTGAAGAACATCATACACCTCTCCACATTATAGACATAGTTTTTACATAACTGTGGGGACACCACGAAATTAGTCTCTCTCACTCCCTCTGAACCAAACATGTTTTTGGGGGAGGGGGCAAAATATATGTTGGCTTCCCCCAGAAAGTATTAGTGGCCAGACCCTTTTGTTTCTGCTCTACTGGTGTTTGTTAATCTAGAAGTGTAAAAAATGCACGTATACTTTAAATGTCAGTTTTATTATCATTACTTAATTAACTGTGTAGGACTGGACGCGGCCTAATGTTAGCGTGGCGTTGTTGCAAAATCGTGCTACGCACCCAGAAGCTATGTATGAGTTATAAGAGTGACTGCCAAATCTCTATCTCTTATTTGATTCAAATAGCCCAGAAGTTTGCAGCCAGTGCTGTTAACTAGCTGCCTTCCCTCTAGTTTATCGGTTCTATATTAGGGACAACTACCCTCTGTGCATTTTGACACGAATATCCAAAACAAGACAATAATTGAGTAGACGTTTCGCCTTTTATTCAGAACTTGTAACAAAGAATGTGTGTAAGAAGTTACACGAGTTTATTTATGAAGTGGTTTGTTTCACAGTACATAATAAATTATCAATAATGTTTTTGAAAATTTAAAGACTTAAAACGTCAAACCCCATATAAACAAGGTGGAAAATGTATTTTATTGTGCAAGATGCAAACTAATAATTTGTATTTTTTGTTGTTTTTTTATCCTATTGACAACATTTTATATGGCCTTACGCTTATTTACCACGACGTGCTAAAAAGGTTTAATGTTTCCTGTGATAATGTGTCACGAACAGTGTGAAGCAGAATCTCATGTAAATAAATTATATATATATTTTCATAATGCAATTGTTATTTTTTGTTTTATAAAAAATATCAACCATTTTATTAGTTGGAAAATTCCCTTTTTAGTTGGCTTAAGTTTATATAACTTATTTTTTTTACGGATAGGGGGCACATTTGATGCTTTAAAACTACGATCCGATGACGCTGCTAAAGAAACGTAAGCATCTTTCAGTTTTTATATCAATTATATCCTCAACTGATACACTTATCAACCAGCTTTCACAGAGTGGTCACGAACCTGAAAAAGTTAAGAGAATTTTAAAATGTTAAAAAAAAAAGGGAAAATGTGTGCCTTCCTTTTTTTATTCTATCTCGGAACGTTCACGCGCATACAAACCATGTTTTTTATAGCTGTGTGAACTGATATATTTCAAAGCAGTCTTGTTCAGTCACTCTATTTTATGTGATGACAATTCTATTATTCATTTTATTTCGTAATAGGTTTGACCAAATTATTCTTTAAAAAAAATTCTGACATCAAGCTGCAATGTATTTGTTTGGTTTTTTTCTGTAGTCTGAAGCATGTTCTCAAGTTTTTATTACCAAATTACAAAGTTAGAGTGATTTTAATTACGTAAAATTATGAGTAGAAATATCAGTGTGTATCGCAGGTCTGGAAAGTCCGTAATTTTGCCTAGAAACTCGGGAAATTATTTTGGGGGGAAGGAAGGTGTCCACCTTGTTTCAGGCACTTTGAAATATTTATAAAAAATGGTTTTAGTTAATGAATAAATATATCGGTAAATCATAGGTACACATTAAATGGGTGAACATGTGAAGATCAAAGAAAATGTACTGCCTCAGACTGATAATTAACATTTTGAGTTTTTTTTTTGTTTATTTTGTTCACCGGTAAACTGAGAGCTGCACAATGAGCTATCTGTGCTCTGGCTACCGCAGGTATGAAACTTAGATTTTAGCCTTATAAATCCTCAGTCTTATCGCTAAGCCACTGGAAGTAACAATATAAGTTGAATGGACTAAACATAAAATTTAAAACCACACACAAAAAAATGACATCGCTTGATAAAGAATTCACTACGTAGGATTTAATTTGTTTTTTTCAAATTCATTCACATTGTGCGTAACATTAATGTTTAATAAACGAATTAAAACTCACTTCTTTGTGTAATTATAATGTATCTAATTAGTCAAGTTCTCTGGAGATATTGAAATGATGTTATGTAATCACAATGATTAGAAAAATCCCAAAAACCAATCAAAACTCGTACGTTTAAAATTAATTCACGTACTTTATTTGAATAATTAACCCAGACCAACTTTGAATGCGTTATTTGACTATCTTGGTAACGAGGCTTATTATTATTACCTTCTTTTAACCAAAACAACCAATTTTCGTATATCACATCTGATTTGATTGGTTGTTTCGTTAATATTTTCTGCATAGGTTAATTGTTTTCTAAAATCCTAAGCTTGTAAATTGTCTTGTGCTTACGCGTCATAGATTTATTAAATTTTCAAAGATTTTTAAATAAAATTTTTAAAATGAACGTACAGCCTTGAAAAGTGGATTTTTGATTGGTGTTAATTTTCTAATTATTCATGCTGATCATTAATATATACAAACAAACACACTCCACTTTACGACTAGCGCCATCTATTGTTGACTATAACAGGTGCTCGAACAAAGTAAACAAATAAGAATACTTAGTGAAACATTGAATTTGTTATGTTTGTTCATCTGTATGTATATCTATAAGTAATAATGTTAACTAGTTAGAATATTCAGTTTTTATTTTGTTTCTCAGTTAACCAAATGAATTGGTTAAATTTTCCTTAATGCTTAATAATAAAATATCTGCAAGTTAAGCAAATTGGATTTTTGTGCAAGGTATAATTTTAAACTTGAGAAATTCATATAAAGAACGTTTCTTGGAATTATGAAAATAGTAAAAGTAATATCAATAGGAGATTAATATATGCTAAAACTAAGAGTTGCATCTTTATAGACGTCTGCAATCTCTCTATTACAAATTTATTAGGCATTTTCGTCTATACTGGAAGACAGTAGGATTTTCAACTCACAATTCTAACCTTGAAGAATTCATATACCAACCTATCAAACTTGAGTGAAGACAAGCAGAAACACGAGCCTAAAATTGAAATTTGAATCTTAAACCAATCCCAAACAACAGAGACAAGTAGAATATCATGTGCAAAGTAATTCGATCCTTTGTACTTCTCGCGATTTTATGATCTATCGTAAATCTTTCATGTCACTCTTGGTAAACACGCAAAAAACAACAACAAGAAAGTTAACTAGGACTAATAACTTTAATTAACAAGACTGGTTTACTTGTGACTAAAATTTAATTGGTCTCCCAGTGGTTTATCAATAAACTTGAATACTTATAAGGCTAAAATTCAGGGTTTGACTCCTTTGCTGTGCACAACATAGATGGGTCATTGTGTAGCTTTAGCTTTATACTTAAGAAGAAACACTTTCATTGGCATCGCTGAATTAATTTCTCTCTTTCCTTCAGAGAAATAAATACAGATTACCTAGTATAAATACGACTTCTTAACATATGTTCAACTCTAACTTAGCTAATGTTGTTGAAAAGGGGGTGAAATGTTAGATTTCTCAAGGAGAATGCACCAGATTCGTCCTAAAATGCTTACTGACTTAAATAAAAACACAAGTCCAATATATATATATACCTGCAACCTGC